CAACAAGAAGTAAAGATAGCTATGAAACATCTTAAAAGATGTTCAACTTCACTAATAATTAGGGAAATGCAAATTAAAACCACTTTAAGATTTCACCTTACCCCAGTCACACTGGCTAAGATCAAGAAAACAAATGATACCAAATGTTGGAGAGGATGTGGGGAAAGGGGAACACGCATCCACTGCTGGTGGGGCTGCAAACTGGTTCAACCCCTATGGAAAGCAGTGTGGAGAACTCTTAAAAAACTACAAATGAACCTACCATTTGACCCAGTTATACCACTTTTTGGCATATACCCAAAGAACTCATCCTATTGCAGAGACACATGTCCATCCATGTTTGTTACTGCTCTTTTCACAATAGCTAAGAGATGGAAGCAACCTAAGAGTCCCTCAATTGACGAGTGGATAATGAAAATGTGTTTCATTTATATGACGGAGTTTCACTCAGCAGTAAAGAAAGATGAACTCATGAAATTTTCAGGTAAATAGATGGAATTAGAAACTGTTATACTAAGTGAAGTAACACAATCTCAGAAAAAAAAATCGACATATGTTCTCACTCATATGTGGATCCTAGAACCAGACTCTGATAAATTATGCAACCAGACATAACTAAAGGAACCAAGATAATGAAACGGAAACAGTGAGGTAAAGGAAAAGAAATAACCTGAAAGAAAAGAACAATAGGAATCGGGCCTTTATAAGGTAGATATGGAAAAAAATGGGTTAATTTAAGGGAGGGGAGAGGGAAGAGTATACAAGGAACCTAGGGAATAAAGGGAAAGAAGGAGCTCAAGAGAAGTAGGACCATAGGAAAAGGGTATTATTAAGGGAGAAAGGGGGAAAATGGGGGCACCTTAAGTGGGAAAACCATGATGGAGGGGCGAGACAATGCGAGAGATAAACAACGCCTAGCTGGTTTAGAAAACCAGAGCGAACAATATTACTCCTACAACCTACTGACAAATTATGCATAGCAGATCAAGAAATATATGTCTAGGTAATTTTTATCTGAGAACAACTGATCTTTCCCCAAGATTTATCTACATGACACACAGTAATTAAAAATACCAGACTGGTAGAACTAACCCTCTTGGGTTTTTAACAGACATACTTTGAGATCTATAATAATTTGGTCAGAGGGACGTAAAGGACACTTTTTACTCCTTTCCCT